AATCACGCGTGGGATTACTACGCGTAGAATATGCACGCGCTAGATTACTACGCGTTGGATATCCACACGCTGGATTATTACTACGCGTAGAATATGCACGCGCTAGATTACTACGCGTTGGATATCCACACACTGTATTACTACGCGTTGGATTACTACGCATTGGATTACTACGCGTAGAATTACCACGCGTTACATTACCACACATTGCATTACTACGCGTTGGATTACCACGCATTAGATTCCTACACTTAGAATTACGACGCGTTGCATAATTACGCGTTGGATTACTACGCGTAGAATATGTACGCGCTAGATTACTACGCGTTGGATATCCACACGCTGTATTACTACGCGTTGGATTACTACGCATTGGATTACTACGCGTAGAATTACCACGCGTTGCATTACCACACGTTGCATTACTACGCGTTGGATTACCACGCGTTGGAGAACTACGCGTTATCCGAAGCAGTCGTTCTCGCGTCTGCGCATGCGTAATCCGCGCGCGTTAATTGGTGCGTGTTTTTCCTCACTAATTCAAAAACGAAGCTTGAAACCCCATTTCTGCAAAGGGAAATCTTATTCAGAATCGCGTCAGCTGCTCCCCATTTCGGGGATCTACACTAGTTGTAACACCCTGTGTATTACATGTTCATTGATCCTGTATACACGTTTACATAAATCCTACCCAAAAAATTCAAACAAGTAAAAAATTCTTCAAAAATTCCCTACGATAAAAAATGTGAAACCTTGAGTCAGTACCAAACTTGAGACTACTAAATGTACCAAAGTAATGTCCAAACACTTACGGTGATACAGAAAGCAGATTTCGAAAACTGCTCAGCTATATCCACTTAACTAATAGAAAAATAAAAGTGAAGTAACGAGGAAAGAACAAATGAATTTACCGTAGCGAAAAATCGGATTATTTCGTGTGGCTAGACGAATCGTTTCACCGGCGAAATAGGAAGAGAGACAGAAATAAGGAGAGAAAGAACGACAGATAGACACAAAGAGAGGAAGAAAACGTAGAGATCGGCAGGTTGTGCACGATCCATAGGCGATTAGCGGCAGATAATTGGCAATTGGCACCGATATCGGTGGTACCCAGCTTCCATTGGACCCTGTGTGATTACCATCGATCGCGATCGAAGATCGATCGTTTGATCGATTGACACACGACCGCGTACTGCGGTTTCGATACGTCGAACTGTGTCTTTGTCAGCCGGGGACGAAAATGGCGATCGATTGAAATCAGACAGCGAGGTAATTGAGTCCTGCTGAGACCACTGCACCATAGGGAGCCATAAAAAATGCCGTGAAAGGTTAGCGGGTGGAAGAGTCTTGAAAAATATTCTTATTGTTTCCGTAATGTTGGTGATGTAAAAGGGTCGTGATTTTTCATGAGGAGGTAGTTGGTTATTGTAAAGTGAAATAAATTGAAATATTTTTTGGAGCTTTTGAATGTTGGGTAGTTTATTGTGAATTTTAATATGTTGTAATGGAGGATGGAAATTTTAGGACAATTAAGATGGAGATGGGATGGTTTCTAATAGGTCTAATAGTTAATAGGTTTTTGATAGGTCTAATTTTAATGGTTTTACTCACTGTATTGCTTAAATTTTCGGGACTATTCAAGGTTTTGTTACATCTGAGGTTTGATTTGAATGTACCAGAAATTTTCAAATTTTGAAATTTCTGACCTATTAAGTTTAAAAATTTATAAACTATTCCACTTTTGAATTACTAAAGTTTTCATGAAATTTTATATAGTACAAAATATTGCATAAAAGTTTAGATACATGATTTAAAAAATATCCCTAATTAATATCCACCTACTTTGATCTCAAATACCAACAAAATTATTTACCCGAAATAAACATTTAACCAACGCAAACATTTAACCAACTTTCACCCCGAAATTTTCATATTTACCCTCGATTCTGAATATCAAATTAATTCAACGACTTCCTTCAAAAGATTTAACGCGATTGAATAAATAAAATTAATTTACGAAACCGCCTCTCTTGAAATAAATACAGAAACAGCAATTAGGATTTATTAAATCCTCTTTGAACCAGAAAATCTTGTTCCAAATTTCATCTTATCTCTTCATGAAAAGTCACCCCATTTCGTTGCATCGTGATTACTGGGTCATTTAACACTTTGAGCAGCACCCATATTCCAGTGACGTAATATGTGTTTCACTAAAAACGACCATACTTAGCTAATTACGAACTCCGTTAAATAAGGTTCATACAGAAATGTCTTGACATAAATAATTGACTGCAAACTTCGACCAAAGTTGTGTAACTTTGTCCCAAAAACAGAATGTTCTATGTTTACTGTGCGAATTGCTAAAATAACTTGCATAAAGTAATAAGTATAAAAATATAAAATTGGCAAACACTTTGAAAATGAGACAAACATAAAAAAACAAATTTCATCAAAACTGGTAAACATCGATTTAAAAATAATAATTAAAAATCAGTAAATAGTTTGAGTAACAATTAAAGAGTTAGTAACAATTTAAGGTTGATAAACATTAATTTAAACATTTTTTGGTAAAAGCTATTTTGAAATTGTTGAAAAATATGCATTGGTAAAAAGCTATTTAAAAATTGTTGAAAATTATAAACTAGTAAAGAGCTATTTAAAAATTGTTGAAAATTGTAAATTGATAAAGAGCTAATAAAAAATGGTTGAAAATTATGAATTGCTAAATAACAATTTAAGAATGAGTAGAAATTGTACATTGGTAAACCTCAATTTAAAAATCTGCAGACTATCAAGATCAATAACTTGCAAAATTTGCTGACAAACAAATTTCCTTAGGACAAAGTCACCCTTACCAAAGGGTGTAACCTTTATCACACCGTGTACCAAATCGCAACATAACTAATTTGAAGAATACACAATTAAAAACTGCTCGAAGCGTCCTCTAACACGAGTATCACCAAAATCATCGCAAACATCATTAGAACAAAATCGAATTAATTCACAGTACAATCAGAAAGAGTCTTTCACAGGCATTTCGCTCCCTACGACAGTTCTGTCGACGAAAACGCAGTCCCTTTGGAACAACCAGACACGAAAAAAATGAAAAGAACATCGAAGAAACCATCGGTGAAATGAAAGCATCGTAGAAATGAAATCTGCGATTAGAAAACGAACGAAAGAAGGAAGAACGGTGATGACATCGGGGCTCTACGAGCAGAGGGTGCAAAGGGGTGCTGCGTTTTCGTCGGATGTACGGTTAGGTAGCAGCTAGCGTAGCATAAAATGAAACCTACTTCGATCCAGAGATTTGTAAAGCCCACCTCGGCCATTTTTGACTTTGCATATTCGATTCGTATTGCTCCCCGGTCGGAGGAGAGGAGAAAGGATCCTTGGAGAGTGGCCATCGCCTGGGCCGCGTAGCGAACGTCTTGGTATTCGACAAAGGCCACTGGCGACCCTCCCTTCGTGTGCATACGAAGCCGGGAGAAACCAGGAAAACTGTGCATAAATAAGAGAAGCGTACAATACGTGCTCTAGTTAGTTACGACAGACGGTACTCTAGTCAAAGACAAGGGGTGTGTGTGTACGTGTGTGTGTGTGGGGGTGTTGGCGATGGTGACGCTGGTCGAACAGCAACGAGGTTACGTACGATATCATTTTATCGGACGATGATGGTCTGAGATTACGTTTTCATTTAATTTACTTCAGCCTTCAAAGTTTCTATTTTGTCGAATAGTTTGTTCAGTTTCTAGACGTACTGGTACGACACATATTTCACTTACGAGTTTGTCAGCTTTCGGAATTTCTAATTAATTGAAATTTGAAGAATTTTTAGCTTGATGAATTTTCAGACGTATGCAGGTCTGAGACACGTTTCGTTTTTATCTCTCTTACGGCTTTGTCAGCTTTCCGAATTTCTAATTAGTTGACAAATTTTTAGCTCGTAAAATTTTCAGACATGTCAGGCTGGTCTGAGATCATCACATATCATTTTCATATAATTCACTGACTTCCAAAATTTCTAATTCTTATTAGTTTGTTGTATTTTCAGAATTACTAATTTTTAAGTATATACTTTGTATATTTCTAACGTATCAAATTTGTAAAATTTATAATTTTCAAATATTCTGCAAAATTAGACAAATTCTGGGGCTCTGAATTCTCTAATTGCCAAATCCAAAAACTTGAAATTACATTAAACTTTTAAATACATTAAACGAATCGTACTATACCACAATATTTTCTGAATCATCAAAAATTGACCATTAACCAAAGAATTTCTAAGCCAAGTTGAAGAGCCAATAGTTAGAGAGTTTAAAGGAAATATCCGTATCGATTATGATTGATGGTAATTCTACCAGGCACCAAACGTAACTACGGAAAATTTAGCTTCCACCAGCTACATGCCTATTACAGTACCTCTGATGGATACTTTCACTCCTTTCCTTTTTTCTTCCAGGTTTCTCCTTCGCCTAATGGGAAGAAACTCGTGCATTATCTCATAATTTACGCTTCTTTCGTTCAACATTCCCGTGATACTCGTTAGCTGTTCCCTTTGTGCGAACCAGCGTGTGTCAGGGTGTTAATAATGCCACTATACGTCTATTTTCATATATCAGTGACGTTCGTATCTAATTTCATAGTTTCAGCTAAGAACTGTTTTACACTGAATATAGTCATTATGAAATTTTTACTTCATCTTCAAATCATCACAGAATTTAATATTTTAGAATCTTTCAGATTCGTTAGGACATTTCGGTGAAAATTATAAATTCTTCATTTTGGACAAAATTGAAAATTCTTCATTTTGGACAAAATTAGAAATTCTTCATTTTGGACAAAATTAGGAATTCTTCATTTTGGAAAAAATTAGAAATTCTTCATTTTGGACAAAATTAGAAATTCTTCATTGTGGACAAAATTAGAAATTCTTCAGTTTGGACAAAATTAGAAATTCTTCATTTTGGACAAAATTAGAAATTCTTCATTTTGGACAAAATTAGAAATTCTTCATTTTGGACAAAATTGAAAATTCTTTATTTTGGACAAGGTTCAACATTCTTTATTTTGGTCAAGATTCTAAATTCTTTAATTTGGACAAAATTAAAAATTCTGTATTTTGGTAAAAATTCTATATTTTGTTATTTTGTTCATAATTAAAAATAATAAGGTTCTCAAGAGACTAGCTAAAAATGACATGAACTTTAAGAGATGTCCAAGAGTATTACCTGTCGATCGAATTGGTAAAGTTCATGGTCGAGTACGATTGATTGACATAATTTTGATGACTGATCAATATATACCATTATGGATACTTTTGAACCTTGATTGTTTGAACCAGTTGATTTTGAACCCTACAGTTGAGGGATTATTCTCAGTCTACAATAAATTGCTTCTATAAAATAAGAATGACCCTTCCTGTATGCAACAGCAAACATAAAATTATTGATCTTCTAATGTAACTATACAGGTCGTCTCACAACTGGTGTTACTCCCAAAAAGAATCGTAACTAATTCATTAATCGTTAATTCGTAACTAATTTTCTTAATAATTCAAAAACAAAGCTACAAAATCCACTTTTGCAAAGGACATCAGCTACAACTCGTTTAACACAACTTAACACAACTTGTGAAACACTCTGTATAACACTAAGTCTCTCACAATCAGTTGTCCTTCATTTCAAGGTTAATGCAATAAGTAATATTTCTTGACAATGTAATTACAGAGTAACATGTTGTAATTCAATAAGATACTTTAAGGTAAGTGTGTACTACAAATGTCGGTGGACTTCAATTGAGATGCACACACACGTCACTGATAAATGCAAACAGACCATAAAAATTGTTATATTAATACTGATATGGTTACGGGCACTAGCACAGGTGCGTCTTATGACTACGAGCTACAATTGGTGGCAAAATGATCAGCGGATGTCAGTGATTACTTTGGAGGCGGTGCTGTTAGTACGGAAGCTCCCGATATCTCGAAACATGATCAGGCTTTCCTGGATTTTCACAATTATTCGTGAAAATCGAAATTCGAATGTTATGGACGCGTTCAAAACGCGCGTATCAAGAGACAGAGGAAATGTGGCTGATTCAGCGTTGACCTATATGGTTCTCTTAAATTTCTAGCTGCGTAATTGTTTCCAGAGTAGCTAGGAAATTCGTCGTTTCCAGTTCATTGCACTGTGACACAGATACGCTCGAAAATAGTGGACAACATTAAGTTCAATAACACTTGGGAAACATTTCATCTTCGATCGCTTTGGGAAATTACGAATGTGGAGGAATAAAATAATAATATAATAGAATACATTTGCAATTAATTTAATTAGCAATTTCGAATAGAAAAGACAATGTTATATTTGTGAAATTAGTTGAAATTCGGGTACAAATAACGGAGAGAAAAATTATTTTCGTGCTTAAGGTAGAATTATTTTAGGCAACATCTGATTGAATAAGATAAAATGTCTTCTATAAAAATATATTGTATAAAAATATTTTGTTCAAGTAGATGTTACGCGAAATAATTATGTACCTATCTTGTTAAATTATTCGAGACTGGTTAATAATTTGAATAGACTGATTTATTTGAATATTTCGGTTAACCTCAAGGATGACCATTTTGAGGTTAGAAAATAAAGTTACTCTTAAACAATTATTTACTTGACATGGTTAACAGAAATTATTGATAATATATGCATATATTAGTATCCATATGTGGACGTTAATTAAATTTAACCCCTTGTACAGGTTCAAGTACAGTTCCCTTTATCATAATTATTCACAGTTGCAATATTAACACTGGGTTTACGACTATTTCTTATATACCTATCTCTACGAATACGAGTCAATTTGACGCAAGAATATATTTAAAGAAAAACAACCTCTTAGAAAGCAATACAATTAAACACTACAAGAAATGAAAATATGAGATATTTATAGAAAGTTTTTATTATTCAATAGTATTTTAGTACATTACTTCAATATTCTACATTCATATTTTTACTTCCCTCTACCCTGCGAACTGCGATTTGTACTGCGACGCCGGGTCCGAACCCGACATACCGGCTGAGCCGGCCGCGTGCGACCCCGCACTAGCGAAGTCCGTCGTTTATAAGGTATTGTCGGTGCATTCATATTTATTATTGTTGTAATTTTTGCCTGGGTAAAACTAATTTACTAAAAATTTTATTTACATTACGATCGCGTGAAATTGACGCACATCCGTAGAGATAGGTATACCACATAGCAAATTTCAATATTTCAAAGCTTTCGAAGAAAATAGACTTCAATATATATTTACCTCGTTCAATGGATAAAAGTCAGTACA